AACCCAGCCCTTAATTATCTGAGGTGGCTGCAAACCTTAAGCTGGGAGAGACCACCCCAGGCAGAAATCAGTCTGCTGGGTGCATCTAGAGAGCAGCAGAGTGCTGCTGGTGCATGCAGCCGACTTGCCAGCCAAGCTCATCTGTAGCAGCAATGTGATGGAGATTTGCAGTAATTGAATGGGATAAAATACTGTGCGCTGATTTTAAATATTTTTCATTCAGGGATAAATTAGGCTTTAATTAAATGGTGTCATTTAATGCACTGCCCAATAGATATGATAATTGCTTTCTTTTTTAAGAGGCAGCATGGTTATAACTACTCATTCGTAAAGTGCTAGCGACACTAATCCAACCCGGTAGACATACAGATACAGCCATGCTATACATCACACCCTGGCAAGGCCAAACTGCTCACTACACCCACAGCTCATGCATCCTCTCATCCTCTCCTGCTTACACCCTGGATTGAGCCCAAATCTCATGGGCAGAGATGTGGCTCTTGGCTCCTTCTTTGTACCAAAAACAGAATGTGCTGGGGATACCCTCCTCGTGGGATTTGCCCCGGAGGATGCAGAATGGAAAAGGGATGCCTCACCCTTAGCTGTGTGAAAGCACCAGTTACACCAAGTTACCCCAAGGGCAAGTAGCCCTTCGAGTTTGTACTTTAAGCATGACACAGGGTGCACCATGCTTACCCCGTACTGCTCATGGCTATCTCCCTCTTTGAAAAACCCATGGTTTAAAGAGCATTTCTCAGAATTTTAAGAATTGCCCAAAATACCCCTTCCCTCCCGATTCTCACACATCTCCCTCCTTCTGCATCCTGGCTCTGCTCCCCGCTGGGTTAATTCCCCTCGCTCCGAGCTGCCCTCCCTTTCATCCCTGATTTAATGAGCTAAGTCGTGGTTAATGATGCTCCTCTTTTAAAGCAACAAAAGAAACCGGGTTAATATTCAGGGCTGCTCTCTCAGGCTCCCTGCAAACTCTGTCTGGAGCAGATCTGCCACGCGATGCAGCTGGTGGAGTGATGTACAGCGCGGCTGTGACATCCGCACCGCAACCGTTCTGATGGTGCAGCCAGCACCCCAGCACACCAAAGCTCCCACATCTGCCACTGCTATTATTTCTGCAATGATTTTTTATTTTTTTTTTTTAAATTTCAGGCTGAAATAAAACATACATATATATATATTTTTGCAAACAGAGTAGCTAGACACTTGTGAGTGGATGCAAACACACATGCCACAGCAAGTAGTGGGGTGTTTCTGAAGCTAGCAAACCTCCAACATGAGGCTCATGGCAGCAGGACCAAAGCTTGCATGAGGTTCACCCAAAACAAGCTCCTGTTAGGCAAGGAGCTGCGGAGTGCACTGTGCTGGCAGTGGGGGAAGGATGGAGCAGCCCTCATCGTTAGCTTCAACAAAGCACACATTTTTCTGGCTCTATAATGCACTTGCATATTTTAACTCCTATCTTCTGTTCAGCAGCTAAAAAGAGACTTTCATTCCCGTTCTGGCTGCCGCGTCGCCGTCCCCATTCATGGGCTGTCACACAGGCACTGATCCTGCAGCCCCATAATGGGGGAATTTGGGGTGCAGGGATGCCCTGAGCCCCTCTGCAGGCAGGTGGGGTTCTACAGGCTCCGGGTTTTGCAATCCTGTCACAGCAATGCTGGCAGCAAGGAGGGAATGTCAATCAGCACCGCGGCTAAATTAGCTTTCTGCCCACAGTTCATCCCAGGAATTCTCACAAACAGAGATATATTTGTATTCGGCAAAAGAAAGACTGTAGGAAACTATAAATGCAACCCGTCACCCACAATTAGAAATAAGAGAGAGCAGGATCATGAGAAACTTTCTATTTTCATGGCCCTTCGCATAGCATGCTTATGTATATGTATGTATATTCATGTATTCAAGGACTGTTTTAAAGCTATGGAATATATATCTACATATACAGCGTGTATACATACATATTTATCTATATCTACACAGAAATAGAGAGAGAGATAAGTGCAGATATAGAGACAGATGTAGACACAGACAAGATAGAGGTAGAGATGAAACAGAGACAGAAAGATAGACACAGATGTAGATTACGAAATATAGAATGATAGATGAAATCATAGAAACATTAAGTTTGGAAAAGACCATTAGGATCATCTATTCCAACCACCTATCATAGAAAGGATCATAGAAAGGATAGATGTGTATCATAGAAAGGATAGATACACAGAAGCAACCCAAACAAAGAACCTACTGGCTTTGCCCAAGCCCAGGAACGTTGACTCCCAAAGGTAATTTAATCCTAGTAGTTCACCTCTTTTTGGATTTGTTTTTATATTTTTTTTCCTTAAGAACCCAGCTCTGAGAGTCAGATGAGCCTTTCACAATCATAGAATCCTAGAATGGCCTGGGTTGCAAAGGAGCACAATGCTCATCCAGTTCCAACCCCCTGCTATGTGCAGGTCACCAACCAGCAGCCCAGGCTGCCCAGAGCCACATCCAGCCTGGCCTTGAATGCCTGCAGGGATGGGGACTCCACAGCCTCTTTGGTCAACCTGTTCCAGTGAATCACAGCTTTCTTCAACAAGACAACAAAAAAGGGCCATCCAAACAAAAATCATGCATGCTGCCTGCTCTTCACCAAGGCACAGGATCTTCAGAGCCCCAAATATTGCTCAGGGCACCAGCCAGAACAAAAAGCACTCGTAATCACATACCAGGAAGAGGTCCCTGCAAAATCCAAAGGGCCAACACGTGGCCCCAGCGCCATTCTTGCTGCCTCTCCCCACTTTCAACAGCACTAAACTTACCAAAAACCCCTTTAAAAAAAAAACTAAATTGTTTGGAAAGTGTGGGAGGTGAAAGGTTTCCTTGAGCAGATTTAAAGCTAAAACCATTAGTGGTGCAATGTTCATTCAGTTCCTTTACTCGTGACAATAGAACAAAACGATCTGATCTAAGCAAAACTTGTGGTTTCATAGCAACTATGAATATATATTTTTTTTGGTGGGGAGATATAATGCAAATCAGTGCTTATGTGCATAAATTGTGCCTGCTTTATTTCCTGTACTCATGTCTGTTGAAACAATCTTAAAATCCAATTTAACAAAATGGCTTCCTGAAAAATAACAATAATAACAATAATAATAATAAACCCACTCCAGTTTAAAAGTCCAAAAATATATTAAAAAAAAAGCTTCTATGATTAAGTTGTTAAAAATAATAACAGTGTTTAGATCTTACGTAACACTTTGCATAAGAGCTCAGATAACTTTTTGAAGACAATTGGATGCATTAGCCCTCCTCCAGCTCTGAGAAACAAGAGCTATTTCCCTTTGGAAGCCAAAAATAAGGTTCCAAACCATCTTCTACGCTGAAGAGTAGACATTTGCACTATGGTCTCCATCCCCAGGCTATGATGCCAAAGATGAATGGTGGCAGGTCCCTCTGGCCTCTAAATTTGGGTGAAAGTCATGGAATCACGGAATGGGTTGGGTTGAATTCAGCATTGTGGTCCTTTTCAACCCAGGCCATTCTGTGATTCTGTGATTCTACAATAAATTTATCACGCAGAGGTTTTTAGCCTCAATCTTCAGACACATGCCATCAACCACCTCTAAACATGTGGATTTCAATCCAGCTAGGGAGGTAACAGTTAAAATATAGGTGAAGGGGAATAAGACGAGTTGGATCATGATTTTTGGGCAGCTACTTAACCAACCCAACATCCCAATCAATGAAGAATTTGGCCAGTGTAGGTTTTGCCTTTAATCTTCTTCATTTTCTGCAAAATAAAAAAAAACCCTTTCCTTTGGCGTAATCAACTTTCTGAGTTTCCAGGGCTGTTTTATCAGCAATTTCTCCTGCAGGCTTCTACTTCTGGAATTTCCCTTCCCCAAGTGGAAAATTGGAAAAAAAAAAAGAGGAGTTTCACCACCTTTCCTGTAAGGAAAATGCTCCTGGAATTTAATTTAAACTCCCTCACTGCACTTTAAACCCTTTCTTTCTTTTCCTGTCCCTGATGAACAATGACAGAGAAATGTTATCACACAATATAAAATATTAAACACCTGCTGTAAATATTGAACTATATACAAATAGAGCCTGGCAAGGATAATACTCAATACATTGTTTACATAGCTACTGATTAATATTGGAGATTAAAATTAATACTCACATAATATAAACATCAACATGCTTTTAGTGTGCAATTAAGCTGAACGATTTCATCAGCACAAAATGTTCTCATCCTTGCAAAACAAGGCAAACTAAAACCCAAGTCGGCCTGAAAATATCACCAAAATCAAATTCCCTGCTGCAAGAGATCTGGATCGTGAAAGATGCTTTTTCCACTTTGGAAAATCATTTTCCCAACCTGGAAGGGGAACATCCTCTGGCCTTCTCTACCTCAATATCCATCTTCACCGATACAACAGAGCCATGAGAGCCAGCAATATTTTCTTTCCCATTAGATGGGATGAGTTAACACAGTGGTTGGGTGTGAAGCACATTGAGTTGCCCTTTGGCATGACTCACCCCTGTTGAGATCTCAGCTGGAGTACCATGGGAGGATCCAAAGTGGGCAGAGTCCCATAGGTTGAAGGAAAGATGATGAAAACAGAACCCAACGAGGAAGAACTGAAGGAAACTGGCAAAAAAAGAGAGAAGGGAGTCTTCCCATCAATCCTCAGAGGCAAAACATTCCCTCAGAGAAAGGAGTGCATGGTTCTCCTTGTCTGTGATGGGTAGGATGTAACATGGTGGATCAAAGCGCAGCACATTTGGGTGACACTTGAGGAAACCTTCCTAATGACAGGGTTAATTAAGGACAGGTAATGAATTAGCTTGGGAAGTAAAGGAGTGCAGCACTGGAAACATTTAAGAACATGTTAGGTAAGTGTGTAGAAACAATGCAGAAAAATGTTGATCATTTCTAACCAACGGGAAACATGATGAGATGTTTAATGCCATCAATTTTCCCCAATTGTCCTTATCCTTTTTCCCTTCCCAGGAGTCAGTCCTGATGGATTTTAGCACCTGGGTGCTAAGAGGTGCATTGGCTCCCAAGGCAAGGAGATTCCATAACTCCAGGACAGCATTGCTCCACCTTGAGGACCCACAGTCAGTGCCTCTGCAGGGAATGAGTGAAGAGTAAAGCCAAGAAGAAGAAATGTGGGCATGTAATCAGGTGGCAGCACGCATCCTGGTAGATGACGGCGGTGATAAAGCACAGCATATGTCCCAGCTCCGATGTAAATCATCTTCAGATGACATCGTTATGGAGCATCTGAACATACGCCGGTCCCTTATGCTTTCTCCCTCCTTCCTACACACTGCCAAGCTCTAAATAGCTAAACATGGCTAACCTCTGACATTGCATGGAAAGGATCTGCTGCATCCCCAAAGCTCAGAGACCGTTCATCCCACATCTCCTGGTCACCCTCGAGAGCCAGACGAAAGCCATGCAGTGGGTACACAGTGCACAGGAGACATCTCATGCTCAGTGTATGGCTTTGGATGCTCTCTGCCAAACTGCAGGGGGTCTGGTGCCCAGGCATACAAAATTTGCATTAGCAACCCAGATGATTGACTGAGGAGTGCATTACAATAACTCTGGGCTGGGAGGGCTGCAAGGCGTCTGGAAGGCAGACGACTAGCAACGATCTGAATAAATTCACAGTGATAATTTGGAAGGAGCTAGACCAAACTTGGAGAAGTAAAGAGCTGCATTTGGGATGGATAACCGCACCAGCCAAACTGGAGAACAGCTTTTGGGGAGGTGTGTAATCCCAAATAGAGCCTGAGACTGTGGTGGCCCAGGGTGGATGCTGACGAGCAACCAGATGCAGTCAGCCCACGTTGGGAGGATTAAAGACTCTTTCACTATCCACTGTTAAGGGAAAAATAAAAAAGCAAACGTTTTATCTACATTACCTAGAGACAGTGATAACTGGATATGTCCTGCTGCAGATTTTGCAATATGCAGTTTCACATCAGTGATCAGACACCAAAAAGGGGCTCCTGGGGCTGGTCACAGCTCTGTGGCTGCTTGCCCTCAGGTACCTCTGATCTCCTGCATCTTTCTAGGGATGAGATTCTTTTATTTTTATCCATTTCATAAAATTTCTGCAGTAAACACATATTTTGCTGCACGTTTCCTGGAACAGATGCATGACCTCATTCTTCATTCAATCACTGCTTTCCATGAATTTTTGCAATGTTCTTTTCCAAGCCACTCCTCTGGAGCTGGCTTTTCCCTCGGGTCCCTCCATCCCCAGCTGAGGGCTGGGCATGGCACAGGGGAGCAGGAGTTGTTCCCTGAGCAGGCACCGTACCTATTGTTCTCTGCATCCGCTGCTGCCACCAGGGGAGGAAATCAGCTTTATCTGAAGCAAAGAAAGACATCAGTTAGGAAAGTTATCAGGGAAAATTTCCTGGCAATAGAGAAGCAAGGCACGGGAACAGGCAATGCAGGCAGCTGCGGAAACAGCCCTGTTTTTAAGAAAATAGATGTATGGGAATGTTCTCCATGTGCCATCTCCTCCAATTTTGGCACTTTGTCCAACTGATCCCCTCCCACCCTTCTTACAAGGTTCCTCCCTTCTGACCCCAGCACATCACTGGTCCCTCCTGGCCTTATCCTGATTCTTAAAGGATCAGGAGGAGATTTGGGTGATGGTGAGCACCTTGACATCCTTTGGGAGCTGATCTCAGATGGGGAAGGTGCATGGTGGCAACCACAGCAAGCCCATCCCATGGGGCTGCTTCTTTGCCTCCGCACTCTGGAGCCCACCCAAGCACCATCCACATAGGGAGCCCTTGCTAATGGGAAAACCACCTGTTCCTCCTTTGCAAGGAGAGAAAAAGAAAAGAAAAAAAGGAGTGCTTTTCTTCTGCTAGCTCCAGCAAAGCAAACAAACCAACCACCCAAAAAGACTCTTGTAACCAAATTACCCCTTTGGAATAGAATGTAGGAAAAGAAAAGAGGGTGCCACGTGCTGCAGTTTGATACAGAGCAGAGCAACCCTCTTGGCTGCCCCACTGCCTAAGGGAGGGGGAAGGGTTCATATTTATTTATGTGCTGGGGAAGGGGGGAGTATTGAATGATGAGATCTGGTGCTCACTTGGCACCAAGAGGTGCCTCACACTTCTCTCAGTTGCCAACAAGCTGCTCCTGGCATACTCTGCTCCCAGCATCCCTGCCCTCCCTGTCCAACATCCCCATTTCAGGCTGCATATTGGGAAAAATTTCTTTCCTGAAAGAGCAGTGATGCATTGGCACAGCTTCACAGGGAGAGGTGGGGTCACCGTCCCTGGGGGTGCTCCAGAGCCATGGAGATGTGGCACTGAGGGATGCATAGTGGGCATGGTGAGATGGGCTGGAGTTGGGGCTCTGGGAGGGCTTTCCCAGCCTGAATGGCTCTCTGGTCCATCTGCTATAGCAAGCCCACAATAGTAACACAAGTGCTCCCAGATTACACCGTATAGAGGAGCATCTCTTCCCTGAGTCAGTCAATCCCTGCTATCCACATCCATCTCTCTCAATTTCGACCTCATGAATGTGTGCTGCTTGTTTCCAGCTGGCAAAATAAATATGGCCAATGCCAGGCTGAGGCTCCCTGTTGCCTTGCAGGGCTGCTTGGGAGGCTCACGTCAGGGAAAAGCACTGGCAAAGAGACATATTTTGGTTACTGTGCTTGTATTTGAAGTTTCTATAGCTACCAAAAGTGAGGGAAATGCTCCCATGCATCATTTTTGAGTGGAGAAGGGGGAGATAGCACACATCAGAAAGGGGTTTTGATTTCACATATTTAAGCAGTTCTCACCCTCTCCATGCCCCTTTCCAGGTGGGACATTTGGCTGTGTTAGTGACGCTTCACAGAGCTCAGGAATCAAATTGCAGGGGCAGATGCCACACAGATTCCCTGCAGATCTGTGGGCAGTGGTGGCCAAGGAGCCCAAAATCTGCTGGGGAGCAAACAGGGTTGTGGTCCTGGGCACCAACACCATGTGCTGCTGGGCATCCTTGATTGGAACCTTTGGAAATGCAAACCCTTCATTTTTCCTCCCTTTTCCTTTTTACATCAATCCTTCTGCACGTGAACACACAGCATGCAATGGATAACCTTTAAGTCAGTTGTATTTCTGCTTTCTGATATTAGGAAATCCAGCCCTGACAGCAGGAGAAAAAGGACCAGAGGATGGATAAAAAGAGGAAAAACCTTCCAAAAGCCAAAAGCACCCCTCAGGGCCCTGAGACCACCTTTGCATTCTGCTCCCTGCATCTGCAGCTCACTGCAAAATGGTCAAATCTACTTTCCTTCTCAAAACAACGAGCCAGTCTTTTCCTTGCATTAAGGAATAATGCATGCTCTGTTATACACAGTGCTGAAATTGCTCCAGGGGGACAGAGAGGTACTCAGGCCAGAGATGATGGATTGGGTGTGAGAACAATTTCCTCAATGGGGTTCAGGTATTTGAGTCCCAGCAGTAATAGGACCCATTTTGTTTCGGGATTGAGGTGTTTGTGGAGTTGTGCTATCTAGATCCAAGGCATTTCTCCTTCTGCCAACCGCTGGGACACAGCAATTCGGAACGATGTGCTCATATCAAACTTTTTTCACATTCTTAAAACAATGCAGTTGTTTTTCCAGCATGCACACACATGCATGCACTGATGGTGTTGTCCCTTAGTACTTACAAAATAAGAAAACGAGAGGCTCATTTTCACACGAGAAGTCAGAGGTTGGGTTCACACAAACATCCAGAAGTTCAAATATTTTCCCAAAGCTGCTCTGAACTTTGCGTGACCTTCCTTGGACCAGAAATGTGAAGCAACCAGTGTTCCCCAGATTACCAACACGTCATGAATCTTGCAACGCCTGCAGCATCACCAGCAGAAAATGCTTTTCCTGCAGCATCCAAGTGACCTTGGCTTCAGCTGCTCATCAAGACCAGGAGGGCTGGGCCCTGGTCAAATGGCAGAATTACTTTGGATGGCTTTCAGGTGGATGTAACCAGCAAGGTGTGGCCAGCAGGGCAAGGGAGGGGATCTGCCCCACTACTCTGTGCTGTGAGACCTCACCTGGAGCACTGCATCCACATGGGGAGTCCTCAGTGCAGGGGAGACATGGACCTGTTGCAAAGCACCATAAAAATGGTCCCAGGGATGGAACACCTCCCTACAAGGACAGGCTGAGAGCTGGGGCTGTGCAGCCTGGAGAAGAGAAAGCTCCAAGGAAAGCACCTTGGTTTTGTTGTAGGTGTCCCTGTTCATTTAGAGGAGTTCAACCAGAGGTCCTTTACAAGCCCTTCCAACTCAAATGATTCCATGTCCATTATTCCACTATGTGGCCTTCAGGCCTTTCTCCACCCATCTTCAAGAGCCAGGACACTGGAAGTAAGGAGAAATTTTCCACCTGAGCACCAATTTGCCAGCATGGGTGGCCATCACCAGGACACTGGAGGAACCTTGAAGGTGACAAATGCACACCATACAGTAACACTGCTATTCTGCAACTCCTGTCCTGATTTATGCCCAGCCTGCTAAATGCTGTGCACACATCCAGCAGTGGCACATCTTTATCTTTATTACAGAATCAGTCTCTTCCTGCAGGAGGGAGATGAGTCAGTGCTGAGCCCAAGCACTGTGTCCTGCAGATATCCACAGAGTAACAAACCACCCAGAAGCAGAAATGAACACAGGCATCCTGGTGGACATTTTCTATCTGCTCATTGAGATTACATGATATTTCATGACGTTAAGATCACTCCACTTCTTTACTCCATCTCCCCAAATAAAGCTACCTCAGGCCAGTGTTATAGTCATAAGTTGCTTAACAGCATGCAAATATTTCTGCTGTTGCCCCTAACAAGCAATTTGCTACTTTTGCTGTTGCCTGAAATGCCAGAAGACTAACAGTCTCTCCCCTGGGTCCACAAAATCTCCTTTTACCACTGAAGCTAATTATGCTGTTAACCACTAATGCTGCCAGAGGAGAGCTAATGAGTTGCGAGACGGTGGGTGTTTTTATCACCCATGCACAAAAAGCTACAGCAGTGCAATGTGCAGCACCAACAGAAAACTTCTGCAGTGGCCATGAGCTGCCTTGTTAAAGAGAAAACCACAGAGAAGGAAAAAACACTGCTCTGTAGCTCCTTCCCCTGCCCCCATCACCTGCAGTGCCATGGAAATGGGATTGATGGGATGCCCCATTGGCTTTAACACCCCCAGGGTGCTGTCATCTTTAATGAGTTAATGTTGTTAAGTCCTTCTGAGATCAACTGGGAAATGCTGTAGGAGAGGCACTTTTGAAGACAGCCCTCACCAAACAACTTTCTTGCGTTCTCTTTTCTTCAAGATGAGAAGAGTCTGGAAAGAGATAAGCAGGTCACCTGCTCCTTGTGGAGGAGTTGGACATTCAGCCAAAAATCATAGAGTCACAGAACCATTAAGGTTGGGAAAGACCTCTAAAGATCCCCAAGCTCAAGACCAGCCCACCCCCACCATGCCCACATCACTCAGTGCCACATCTCCAGGTTCCTTGAATACCTCCAGGGATGGTAATCCCACCACCTCCATGGTTTAGCTGGACCACTGCAGCACCATTCTCTGTGAGAAGCAATTTCTCCTAATATCCAACCTGAACCAACGTGGTGCAACTTGAGACCATTCCTCCCCATCCTAAAATTGACCATAGGTATCGGTAGTACTGTCAACTTTGCATTGGACCTTCCTCCTCAAGCAGTCAGTTTGGATTCTTTCTTGTCCCCACACCAGCACTGGTGGAGAAGTGCTCCTGGGAGCAGACCTGCAACTGAAGAGCATCACCAAGGCACTCAGCATGAGCATTTCCAGCATTAGGTGAACACCTAAAACTCTGCAATCCTCTTTGTGCTCACTGTAGCTATAGGGTGTTAATAGATATTCTTGGTCATGTTCATTAAATCTTGTGGACATAACTCCATCCTTGGAGACAACCAAGGCCAGGCTGGACAGGACTCTGAGCACCTGATGGAGCTGTGAGTGCCCCTGTTCACTGCAGGGTGTTGGACCAGATGGCCTTTATAAACCCCTTCCAACTCAAACAAGCTTGGCCCAAGAAGGGAGCAAGACAGACCCCAGAATGAACCCTAGTAGAAAGGGTTGCACAGACACACCTGCACACTTTTCAGCTCCCCGTCCATCCTCTAACATGATCAATTTGCATTCCCATCCACAATTCACTGAGCACCTCGCTTGTCCCTAAGTAGGTGATTTCCCTGCACATCACCAGTTTTCAACCTATGAATTCATGGTGTTAATTATGCTCACACCAAAAGCAGCAGCTTCATCATCACAAAGCAGCCTCTACAGCTGCCAGCTTTCCTGTCTGGTTCATATAACTCCCCAAATCCTCTGCAACCAACTTTCTACACCTTTCCCAGCTCTACTAGTTTGAGAGTAAGAACATTTTTACGTTGTATTCTTTCATGGATCATTCAAAGGTTTCAATAACTACATTTCAGATTTCGTAACCTTTTCTGAGCACTGCCTACCACTCTTGTTTTCATCTGGGACTTTCTGTTGCTCAGAAATTCCTTCATAAAAGCATTAGTTCCTGGCACCTGGGTTGAATTCATGGCTGGAAATTGTATCTTTCTATGTGTTTGTAAGCTTTTTCTGCATCTGACACAGGCAGACAGCAGTTCTTTGCATCCTGGGGAGAAATTGCCTCTTCAAGAGCATCCCTTCCATTGTTATGATGAATTCTGAAGGAAGAGAACAAAGCATACAGTGCAGGCAGATAGGAAAAAGGAGCTCAACACACATCAGAGACTCACCCAGCTCTGGCAAACTTCTGGATGTGGAACAAGGAGCATTTGCAAGGGAGATGCTGCTGAGGAAAAGCTGTTTTCTCATAGGCTGCTTCTCCTTTTGAAAGTACGCTGGTCCCATCCCAGGTCACCTGTGGAGCAGAAGGTGAGAACCCAGAGAAGAACCCAGCTGCACCTTCAGGAGATGCTTTCAAGACAGGCTCAGGAATCAGCACCAGCTCCACCACCACAGATACATACTTGGTGTTTCATGCTGACCTTGATTTGTCATCTACCACTGCAAATGTCTCCTGGGGCTCCTCAGCTTCCAAGGTTCTGTGTGTAATCCAGGGCAAAGAGCATAGATCTCATGTCGGAGGCTGAAGACCTCTACATTTTCTGGGTGAGGTTTTAGCCTGAGCCTCTCTCCCTGAGGTGATGGGAAGAAGGAGGAGAAGGGGAATAGCATGTGTTAAACATTCAGATACTTCATCCCCAACATCAAATCCCTTCGAAGGATCACCTTCTAGGATGAGGAGCCAAAAACTCATCTCAAACCAGAAGCTGTAAAGGTTGCAAGGGAAGTGACAGATGCTCAAGGTGGGACCTGCATCTTGCAAGGCCTTCTTAGGCATAGTGGGCTCTCATGCCTCCACACAAGCATTCTGTTCAAGGAATGCTAGCGGGACAAAAAAATTGTTTCTGGAAAAGGGGCAGTGGTTTTGCATTACATTGCATTTACACTGTGTCTGTATGCTATCTGTTTATTTTGTTCTACACTGGCAGCAAATGTACAGGGACAGAGTTGCTTGACCACATAGTGAGAGTTTTTAGAGCACATGATGGTGAGCAAACCCTGCAGGCAGCTGGAGCTGAGCAAGCCATGGCTGAAAAAGATGAAGGGAAAAAAAAAAAAGAAAAAAAAAATCAAAGCAAAACTGATTACTTTTGCCTGGAGAGGTTTGTTTTTGTTTGTGTCTTCTCTGAGAAAAAAAAAAAAAAAAAAAAAAAAAAAGGACAGCATATTTCAGGGGTGAGGAGGGGAGAAATACTGAAAAGCTCTCTCTTCCTCTCTCTGGCTAGACCCAAGACAGCTCAGACATGGAGCGATGCTAATGGGCATCCTCAGACCTGCAGGAGAGACATTCCACCCCAGCCAACTCAAGTTTTTAAGCCAAAACTCCCACAAGGCAGTGTCACTTGCTAATGGGAAGCAGATTAGAGACCCGTGGGACCACACTGATGCCCGCACATCTCAGCCCCTATGCCCACCTCCAGACCATTTCTCCACTACAATGCAGCCCTTCCTCTCCTCACGCCTCTTTTCTTTCTATCCCAAGTCCTGTGGCTCAATTCTGGCCGTTGGTCCAGAACGTTCTTCCTTGTTTCATTTGCTTTCCCATTGTTTCCCCTTCAGTATATATCCTTCCAGCCCCAGACGCTTGTTTGCAAGGTGCCACGTTTCTGATTGCTGTCATAAATCCTTAAATCCTTTGGGCTGTCTGGTTTGGTGTCCTTGCCCATGGCAGGGTTTGGGCCTGGATGAGTTTTAATAATAGAATTATAGAATCATAGAATCATTCTGGTTGGAAAAACCCTCTAAGAACATCAACTCCAACCATCAACCCACTCCACCGTGCCCACTGTCCACATCCCTCAGTGCCACATCTCCACAGTTCTGTTCTGGAACACCTCCAGGGACACTGGATAGTGATATCACTATATCACCACCTCCCTGGTCAGCTGTGCCACTGCATCACCACTCTCTGAGAAGCAGCGTTTCCTAATATCCAACCTGAAGGTCTCTTCCAACCCAAACCTTCCTATGATAACATGAAATTTATGGATGACTGTGCTCCTCTCACCCTAGCCAGAGAGCAGTAGGCTGCTGAACCTGGACCAAAAATGCTCTTTTTTATAAAACTCCAGGGAAAATTAATATTTCACACAGCAAAACCCAGCCTTGTTTTGGTGGGGGCATTTGTTGGACATAGTGCATAGGTGGGCTCTGCAGGCAACCATGGACATGAGGTGTGCATCTCCCCTGGGAGCCTGCCTCTTAGAGCCTGAGAATAAGACATTGCAAGGAGAGACTGGTGACACCTCCATGCTGTCTGACACCAGAACTACCACTACAGCTGTTCCATGGATGTCCTTAGAGCAATTGGTTTGTCTCTGCACTGGAGAATCGAGATGGGAGAAAGGCAATTACAGAGGAGCTTGGTATCATATTATGGATTGCTGCTGCTGCTGTTATTGCCCTCTTCCCTTTGAGCCTTGTTATATGAGAGCCAAACTCTCCCGAAATGTCAGCAGGCACCACACACTTGAAACTCCAGCCCTGCAGTGCTCTGGAAATCTTGTTGATTGATGTAGACATTATACAAACACAGGAAACCACAGCAAGCCTGCCCTCAGGCAATTCCCAGCCCTAAACAGCAGCAAAGGCACCCTTCCATGTAACACAACCTAGTCAATATCATAGAATCATGAAGATTGGAAAAGACAATTAAGATCATCTAGTCCAACCACCAAATGTCACAGAACCATAGAATGGCTTGAGTTGGAAGGGACCTCAAGGATCATGAAACTCCAACCCCCCACTATATGCAGGGCCACCAACCTCCACATTTCAGAGCAGCCCAGGCTGCCCAGGGCCCCATCCAACCTGGCCTTGAACACCTCCAGGGATGGACGGGGCATCCACAGCCTCTCTGGGCAGCTGTTCCAGCACCTCACCACTCTCATAGCAAACAACTTCCCCCTGACATCCAACCTAAGTCTTCCCTCCTTCAACTTCAAACCATTTCCCCTTGTCCTGCTGTTACCTGCACTTGTAAACCAAGTGATCTTATCCTCAATCCAGGGTCTCCATGTGTACTCCTGTATCCTCAAAGCAAGCTCCCATGTTCTTCATTTGAAATGGAGGAAGGTACCTCCTTGCGCTCCCATCCATATCCAAAGCTTGCCATCTACCTTATTAGAGATAAACAACATTATGTCTAGAGTTATTATCTCTAATATCTCTCTCCAAAAAGACCTAGGCAGGTTCAAGCAGTGGGACCAGGAGAACATTGTGAGGTTCAACAAAGCCCAGTGTGAGGTCTTGAACCTGAGTCATAGTAACACACCCCCACCAGACAAGAGATTTAGACTGCACAGAATGGAAAAGTTCTTTACAATAAGGTTGGTGAGGCAGTGGCACAGGCTGCCCAGGGAGGTGGTGGTTGTCCCATCCCTGCAGACACCCAAGGTCAGGCTGGGTGGCCTCAGAGCACCATCTGATGGAGCTGTGGGTGTCCCTGTTCATTGCATGGAGTGGGATCGGATGGCTTTTAAGGGTCCCTTCATACTCAAACAATTCTGTGATTCCGCAGAAAAGTCAGATTTCTCTTGTTTTTCCATCAAAACCAACTAGAGGATACTTCAGGGCTTTCCTGGAGGTAGCTCATGCAGAAATGGCAAGTCTGGTCTTCACTCTTAAGCATGTAGTGGTACACAGAGAGCCAGTGCTGGCCCAGGAGAGTTCTACTTTAAAGTAACCTTACTTCAGAAGAGATCAGAAACTTTGGGCTTCCTCCAAGCTACCCCATGCCCAAGATGGGACAAGTGGGGCCACGTCTGCTGCTTGCCAGCCCATAGACCTGCTCACGGTTAATACTTCCTCTGAATTTTTCCTCTTTGTGGGCTGCATAGCACGGATAATTGTTGACTTCACCCCTCTGCAAGGCGTGGGAGGTTTGAGTTTTGCAGCCTCAGAAGACAGAGCTCCACTCGCAGCAGCTCTTGCTGCCTCCTGAGGAGTTATATTTGCTCTTCCTTTCCTCACTGTTTTCCTTAAGCTAAAATAAAACATCCCAGACTGGGGAGAAAAAAAAAAAAAAGAAAGAAAGAAATAGGGGAACATGTTTTGCTCCCAGTGTCTGGACAAACATATCACATCCCAAGCCTTAAATAGAGCTAATGGGATGAGTCAGTACAAGCTTGCTAGGATGCTGCAGCTGCAGAAGCTCACAAGAAAACGAGGCAACGGAGCCTCCACAGGGACAGCTGCTGCCTTCAGACTTCTATTTTTTCCCCACCAAAACACAGCAATCGCGTGCAAAGAAGCCTCCCGCTGCGCGCTCCTCCTGGGAAGGTGTGCTCTGCCTCAGATCAGCAGCAATGGTTTGGCCTTTTGGCCATAAGGAGTTTGTGGTTTTTTATGCTTGGTTGGGTTTTTCGCTACCTCAGACCACCTCTCCCCAGATTTGAGGGAATGCTGAAATGGTATCAAGTGTTGGAGTTGCATCCTCTGCTAGCCGCAGTTAGGGTTGGCTAGTTAACCTGTTGTATTTTGCATCAGTTTAGGAACTGAAGATGCTGAGAGCGTGGGTCCTTCCTCAGGATGGGCACCTCAGCATTCTCAACAGAGAAAGGAGGATGATCTCCTTGGGCTGCATCCATGGCAGAAGCCAGGGTAGCTTGATTCTACAGCAGGTTCTTAATCCTGCTTTCTTCCGCTCCCCCCCATATCAGTTTGGATGAACTAAGAGCTAGCCAAAAATACAACCACATTCAACCAAAAGGTGTATTTTCTACTACAAAATAAGAAGGTGATATTGACTGTGCTCAGCACCAACAGCAGCCCAAACTACAGTTTTCAATACAGCTTTACTTCTGCAATCAAAGTTACCTGTGCAGGAATCACAGCCTCAGGAGACACGGGAACAAGCAGGAAACACTTCTCCATTCCATCATCCACCCTCTAAACCATTCCTGAAACATCTTACTCCATGTCTGTGGCTGTCCTTTTATATTTCTGGGGAGGCTTTAATTCTCTTCCAAGCCAACCTTGCAAAAATTACCATCCCCCTGGAAGGGAAGTAGCTGCTTCTAATTTACCATTCACTTACCACCGGGATTTAAATCACCTGCTCATGGCTCAGTGTGAAGGATGCCCTGATGGCACTGACTCAGCTCCATCCTGGGGGAAAAGCCTGGAAAGAACAAGCATAGCTTCCATCTGTGCCAGGGTGAAGCTATTTAAGGGCAAGGACTTACCCAAGGAGAGTCCCACGGTGATCCCCAAAGTGTCCTGGCAGCCTGCTGGCTGAGTAATACACGTCCAATGTGATGGTAAGGAATAGGAGCCTTCAGCCTATGGTCCATTCCTACTCATTATATTTGGTACAGCCTCACAGTGTTGTCTTGAAATAAAGTGATCTTTTATCAGACATTTCCTTCGTGCAGCTGTCATTGCACACTTTAAAGGCCAGGCTGTAAACACGGAGCAATACATCCCTGATCACTAATGCGTTTCCAAACAGTGTTCTCACTTCTCTGCTTTGCTTTTCACAGCTCAGATGACAAAATGCTGATGTGAGCAAATCTAAAATTAATCATCTGAGTGTCTCACATACTGCCAGGTAACGAGGGCAGCTGAGAATCCTTGTCTCTGCAGGATGCACAGACTGCTCATCTCCTTGGTCCTCCTGCCCTTGCTGTGGGTTTGGATTGGAGCAAACCTCACATCCTCATTCAACTCTTTGAAAGGGATAATGGCAAGACAAGGGGAAATGGTTTCAAGCTGAAAGAGAGAAGATTTAGGTTGGATGTCAGGGGGAAGTTATTTGCTATGAGAGTGGTGAGGTGCTGGAACAGCTGCTCAGAGAGGCTGTGGATGCCCCGTCCATCCCTGGAGGTGTTCAAGGCCAGGTTGGATGGGGCCCTGGGCAGCCTGGGCTGCTATGAAGTGTGGAGGTTGGTGGCCCTGCCTGTGGTGGAGGGTTGGAGCTTCATCATCCTTGAGGTCCCTTCCAACCCTGGCCATTCTATGATATGATTCTAAGATCCTTACATGTGGGCGTGAAGGGTGGAAAGTGGGCAGCTTCTCTGCCCCACTGGATGGGCAGAAGCTGGCAATATTAACGCAATCCTTCCTCTGAAACAGGTTTGGACCCACCATGCCCCATCCCTATTCCTCCTGATGTTCCAGAGGAATTAAAGGGTTTTGCAAAGGGGTTTTCCAGGCCCCAGCATGAGCACTGGGGCAGTACAGTGCAAATCTGCTGGAGTTCAGAGGCACTTTGCATTGGCTCAAAGCAGAACCCAGGCCTAGAATGCTCTAGGAATCCTTACTGGATTGCAAAGCCCTTTGGGCTATGGGGAATGTTTGAGCTGATAGGAAAGATTTTGCAAGCAGGGATTAATCTGCAAGAACTGAGAGCTGGAGCTGTAAGCCAGGGCCCTGGCCCAGCATGGCAGGCCTCTTTCATTGCTACAGTTCAATAATTATTTGAACTGTGGCTGCATTTTCCCAGAGACTGCCCTGAAAACCTTAGGGAGTTTGATTTACAGCTTGGCAGAGGGTGTGCTGCTGCCTACCTGCAGAATAACTGCATCCGCCTGCCAACAACATGGTCTGAATTCACTGCAGTTTGGGCTGGAATTCACAATATCCTGGCTGCAGAGCACACATTCAGTTTAGTGGGCATTTTATTAAAAGAAAGAGGAGCTGCTTTTCCATAGCTGCTGTCTTTTCTTGCTCTGAGAGCACCTTTACTGGAAGTTCTTTTCCCATTTCATCCAGCCCCTTTGCCTTCAATACAGTCAAATGAGTGCCCCATCCCCGCAGACACCCAAGGTCAGGTTGGATGGGCTCTGAGCAGTGATGGAGCTGTGG